CTACAAATTGACCATCGGAATTCATTTTACATGTAAAATAATTTTTTTTTTGGACAATCCGAAGTATTGATACATACACGACATACATATGGTCAAGCTTATCAGTCATATTTGCATGTAGGAAAGTTTAAAAATGAGGAAATTAATTGCTTGGGATTTATAACTCGAGAACGTTGTCCAAACAAAGAAAATGTTTTACTTATGGCATTCAGATAACTGTGATAGGTGCTATGTTGCACATCGACATTCACTGTACTGCCGGAAGTAGCTGAGATAATTATATCCTCTTTGGAGAAACAAACAAAAATGAAAAGAGAAATAATGTCTTTTTAAGTTTTAATGGTGTCTCTTTATATAACAAAATTAATTCGGATATCAATAGCTTTCTTAGAAAGAAATCACGAAAATTGTTAATTTTTTATCCTGTTACACGAAAATCTCTTCATAATGAACTCAAAACCTTTTCTATTTTCCATGTAGTGGCACAACGATTTTCAAGTCAGCGTGTTCGTCAGAACATTTGAGCAAGGTCTCATTTTGACATAGAAAGAACGAAATTCGAATTATAAAAGAGTAAGCTGGCGTACACTTTTGTGTTGGGCTGGAGTTTGTGGTACTTGTGGATGGTTACGGTAGTTTTCCTCGTCTGTGCCTTCCTGCTGGGCGTTGCGGCGCCTCTAGAGGACAGACGCAGAACTAGGGCGCACTACATGAGGTCCGTCGCAACCCCGCCTTTACGCCACGAGTGTAAACATTCTACTCTTCCCAAGGTGAATTATGTTTTCAAATAGCTGCGTTGCGATAAGAAATGTTATGAGAATATAAAGCTAAAAATGTTATATGGTAATAAGCAACTAATAAAAATGCGACATTATCGTGTAACACTCATTACCAGTCGGACGTGAAAAGCCATTTCAACGTTACGATATATGTAAATGAACTAGCTACCATTTGCGTATGCGACCCTATCTCTACCATTCTTCCCGCAAAAGGATGATTCAAACAACGAGATGTTACATAACATAGCAAATCGTCAAATCCGAATAAATAAGTGTGTTCAAAAAAGACACTGGATGTACGTATAGATCTCGGCATACATTCTATCGCTCTTCTTTGGATCTGGTCTTTGCTTTGTATGTAAGCTTTACTAGTAATGCAAGAGTTTTACAAACAGGTTCGACTAGATTTCTTTCAAGTCATTAGGATCAAAAGTTTTAACGTTGACTGCCACGGTGGTCACCGGTGACCGGCAACCGCCTCGCGATTGAACACTTGTCATTTGTTTTAGTAGCCAACCTGTTGACTATTAACACCAAAGCTATTACGACTGGCCAAACGACCATGATTAAATGGTATTGGTGATAGAGATATAAATTCTCACTAGGTTTAGTGTTAATATTCATATTTTCGTTTTTATGAACGGACAAGAACCGTACATTTTGTCATAATGGTTTACAGGCCGTTTTTCTTTACACTTATATTGTAATTATAAAGATCAAGTACTGCCACTTGCTGCTAAAATATTAAGAAACGCGGTATAGCTTCGCGCTAAATACATATATAAACAAACTTTACATACATATCTAAGCTTATACAATTGCGAAGGTTTGTAAGTGCGGTATAGGCGAAAAACGCTCATCTAGCCATTAATTGCGAAGTTTAATCCGACGCATCAGATTGAATAGAAGAGTATTCCTTAAATGTGTGGTGGCTTCCAGAAATGACTCGCGTCCATTGTCGCCAAAGGGCCGACGTTTCGTAAATTTTGCAGTTCGTTTCATCAGAACAGACAATGTCGAAATGTCCTCGTTCTTGGGAATCCCCTCTTATTGTGTTGGGGTGCATTTTGATGGACCGATTCGGGATCGCGTGTTGAGGGGTCGACCACGCCGTTTTTAAAAAATTGGCCAATAACATTTTTTAAAGCCGGGATTTGGTGATCCAAATGGGATCCACTTGATATCTCCTGTCGGGATTTATGTTGTTGTGGTTTTTGGATTTTTCTATTGCCTCTCGATGTTTTCTAGGGAATAAGTCAGAGGCTTTGGCTATAATTGATGTATTTTCTAATTGAATTCTGTAACCAGTCTCCATATGGTGTTCCTCTTTTGCTGAATGCTCAGAGTGTTTTAGTCTAATGACCCTTTCATTCGCTTTGACCCTTGTAGACACTTCTTCCGGTTTCATTGATATAGTTCTTCCCGCAAGAACCTTTGTACACACCTGATATGCATAGTTCTGGTGTAGGATCTTTGGGGGACGCCAGAACTTATGCTATCTTGCATTGTGGTTTAAATATTGGCTTAAGGTTGTGTTTGCGCAATATTCTGTCTACTTTGTTGGTTATGCCTTTCACGTATGGGAGCGATATCGTTTGTCTGTTGTCCTCTGTTTTTTGAGTTTGACCGAATTGTTTCGGATTGTTAAGTTTGTAGATGATGCGGTTAATTTCGGTCAGTCTGTATCCGTTAAATTGTAAGGTATGTTTTAAATCGGATAGTTCTTTTTCGAGGGCATCTGGTTCTAATATAGTTACGGCTCAATGGACTAGGGAGTGGATTACTGATGCTTTTTGTAAGAGATAGCGGTGGGAAAGTGCGTGTTAATATCTGTTCGTGCGGAGGGTATTCGGTAGACTTTATGATCTATGAAACCGTCTGGCCGGCCTTTCTTCCTGCGTCGAGAGATAACGGTTGTCACAAAATCGGCGGACAGTTCTTAGAATTCAATTTATCTTTTCCACGAGTAACTTATCATCGTAAAACGACGGATCGTCCTTTTGAAAGAAAGCGGCTGTCGCCTAACAAATTCTCATAATTACACCGCGAATCTTCTCGAGTTGAATGGCTGCCGCTCGAAAATAGGTGGACAGAGTTCTTGGAATTGCGGGGAGTCGTCGCGAATCTTCTGGTGTCTAATGGAAGCTGACAAATTCCTGGAGTCAAGTGGCTGACGGCAAAGATGTTGAATCGAATTACTGACGACAAAACGTTTAGACTAATGTGAAATCAGATATTGTTGAGGAGGAAGTTTCAATGGTGTCGACATAATTCTTGGGCGGACGGCAAATTCGTGGAATCAAATAGCGGACGGTCTCAAGGTGAAGGGTGAGAGGTGTCGCGAAAATTCCAATCATCTCGTACGTAAAGCCCTGCGACGCGCATGTGTGTTCGGATTCAAATTTGCTTTGGTTACTCTTTTTCAAAATTAAATACAGATTACTGTCATGTATTTCTTGTTCATGAAGTTTGGGACGCCCTGAATAATTCATTCTACACGTACTCCTAATGGAGCTTGAAAACATGATAAATAGGTATTATTGTTACTTTAATCTTTTCAATGCATTTATAAAACCACTTCTTATTAATGTGGTCATTGACGATTTAGTCTAAAATCAAAGGACAACAGATTCTTCAGGTACGTTATAAAATATGTAATAATATATATGTTCAAATGTCGAACTTGGTGATAAGGATGATGATATATTTTAAATATTGTCTTCATTTAATAATCTCTTTGAAGAATAGTGTAACCCTGATATCATTGTTCTTCGTTTTAATCGTCTTTATACAATATGTTAACAAGAAATTGTCGTATACATTAAAAATACGTATGTTTTGCATCTTATTTCGTACTCGTGTTGAACAATGACAGATTATAATGTGTTTTTATCAGTTTTTCAACTATTCGTTATATTATCGACAATAAATTACTCAAGCATTTAAAATAATTTTGCAGGGTACATGGGGGTAATGCCGTCCACTTAAGCCTTTACGGCAATAAAATAAAAAATATAAATGACAGCGTAATTTTTTTAATCAATTAAGGTGAAGTAAAACCCCCTTCAAATCAGTCGATTCGAATACAACAATTTTTTTTAAGGCCATTATACCAAACTGTCCAAAATTTTGACACATCACTCCTGATCATCTAAGAATTGTCCTGACACATTCAAAATTTGGATTTTTTAAAAAAACTTTTTAACTCAGCCCAGACCAGAACCAAAATGGCGTCGAGCTCTCATATTTCGATCAATATACAATTATCGAGCGTTCTGATATGAGAATCGAAAGAGTCAGGACAATTTTACGACAATTTAGAACACTCTGGTAATCGATAAACTCGCATTTGAACAGGATAAGGGCAAAAAAATTGTTGTATGCGCTTCTATGCTAAAACAATGGTAGTACGAGGTCTCAGAGTGACAGTTAAATTGACCTGGAAATCACAGATGGCGCAGGGAGTCCCTCTGCAGTCAATTAGGGCCCCAGAAAGAATGAATTCAGAGGATTTCTGGAGTTTTACTTCGATTTCTTGATATTTATTATACGAAAACGACAGGTGTAGTATGCCATTTAGTACAATATTCAATGTAATTCGACACAGCTGTCAATATCAAAACGAACGTCGACAACGTAGGCATTTAGAGAAATCTTCTTTATCGACGTCGATCAAGTTCCTTGACGTGTTTCACTTCACATTAACAAAGTTAAATTGTTACTCTTCGTGGTAGGGATTGCCCTCGTTTACCTCAAGCATGTTCATAAATAAGGAGGAACACCTTCTCAACTTTTACCAGCCGAGAAACGTGTACATATATTCATATGTGCTAATTATAACATAAATTGTCCAATTTGTAAAAATTATTCATCTTGCATAATAATTATTATAACGGACTATTTGTGTATAGGTCGCCAAAAATTACGTAGATGTCAGAAATATAAATTATTGATTTCAAGGAGAAGGGAAGGGAATTATTGCACGATTGATAAACAACTGCAATTAATGAATTCCTAGTATATCGTTTCAATTTTTTTTCTACCAAATTAAAGTAATACTTCTACTGAGTTGAAAATGAATGTGTTTCCTGTGAGGTTAGATGCTACACAATAACGACAAAGTAACGTTTCCTTTTTTCAAATAATTCTCTTGAGTTGTACGATAAAATAATAAATAATTGTACGATTATTCAAAAGTGTTAACATGTTATTTTTTTATAGGAGGGAAGTCCACCCAGTAGACAACCGTATAACCGATTGCAGGTGCACCGTGACGAGAGATGTGGTTTGAACGGGTTACGAAACATTGGAAACACTGTAAGTTGTTTTTTTAATAGTTTATGCCATGCTTGCAATCGTTCATTTTTGGAATTACGAATTAGTTAGTAATAATAATGTGATTTAACCAGAGTTGCAGCGTTACGTTTACGAGGAGCTTTTAAATGTTAAGTAGTATTTTAACTGAATAAAAATTGCAACTTTTTCGAAACAATAACTATGAATTATCGATTTTCATGAAAACCGATATTTTGAATCATTTGAAATTCATATTTGGATCATTGTGAATTTCGGACATATGATAAAAATTACATTGAATTTTACTTATTACAGTCTGTTAAAATATAATTAATCAGTGGAGTGTAGTACATGCACAACTTCTACTTTGAATAGAACACAATATATTATTTTAAGGTGATATGAAAGGCGCCAAGAATTTTAATCGACGTCGATGAAATAACATAATTTTGGGTTATAATATTTTTGTTTTCAATGTATGATATATTTTTATCATATTTCTTTTTGTCGGTAATTGTATACGATGTTCTGTATTTTGAGTATCAAAATGTTGCATTAAATATAATGCCGAAATACTGAGGATCAACTAATATTCTGTTTTTTAGTGTTTCATGAATAGTGTGATCCAATGTCTGAGCAATACGAAACCACTACTGGAATATTTACTGAACGATCAGTACCCGGCTGACATAAATATGACGACATCAAGCATGAAAGGAGCGCTTATAAAAGCGTTTAGTCAAGTGATCCACGAGTTATGGGAAATCGGCGGTGATCATGTCGTTAATACGACGGCTTTGAAGTCACAAATCCAGAGATTCGCCCCGAGATTCATGGGTTACAGTCAGCAGGATGCTCAGGAATTCCTTCGATATTTGTTGGAGGGGCTGCACGAGGATGTTAATAGGGTGACGATTAAACCGCAGCCTATTCACACCGATATTCCAGATCATTACACGTGAGTTGTCGCGTCTAATGGCTCATGTCTCCGAGCAAGTCAAATTTACGAGGGCTGCTTTCAAGCAGTTATTGCCGATAGGGTATATGTTTTTCGGCGTGAACTTGCGCAAGAACTTCCGCTTTCCGGCAAGCACTTCGAGTTCAAAAACGTGGCTCGGGTACACGCCTGCTTGCAAAAATTCGAGATGCGCAAGTTGATTTCGATTCAGTCTCGAAATTCTTGCTGCAAGTTGCGGACGAATTAGTATGTGCTTCGGAATAGAGGGACGACATTCCTATGCATTGGTGTTGTACAGTGATGTCAGCACCACTAATGCTGCATCCACTTACATTTCGAATACGCCTAATATACATACATACATACATACATACGTCTGTCAGATATCTTATATACATTGTGACGTGCAGAATTCTGCCGTCACAAATTAAGGCGCAGCGGTGGCGGTGAGTATTGAATTTTGTAACCATTTAATTTCAAAATCGGTTGGCGACACTCGAGGTTGTCTTGGGAAATCATTAGTTGTAAGTATTTATTAGATTTATAAGTTTTATTATAGGGATTGTTATCTATCGTGTGTCGAGTAAGATTTAATATTTCGAGCCATTGTCGCTATCGGTTCAAGGCGAGAAGGATTACTCGGATAAGGAACTTCCATCTATCGGGCCACGGAAGGAATTTGGACGAAATTCGGGTATTTAATAACCGCACCGCGGTACTTTTCCTGACACCTAGCGTAATCGCCGTTAATTGCTGGCGCCAGACGGTTTTGGCGGCGCCTCGCGCAATCGATATAAGGGGTTTTCCATAATTCGGTGTTCCTGTCGATCCTCGGAGCTCATTGTCCAGGATACTCCGGCCTTCAAAAGGCAATGACGTGGGCTGAGCACCCACGCGTCCAAGAGCCATCCGTAAACCTCCTCGTGGTGGAGGCCGGATGCGGGCCCCCATGGGTCCGTAACGAAACGGCAAATGGCTACTGGGGTACCGTGAGAGATGCTCGCTCTGCGGAGCTTGATCGCACTCTCGTTCCCCCTGGAGTTACCGGCGACAGGTGGCCCCCATTGTGGGAATACCCCTCGACCGGACGGCCGGGGTGTGCTGGGGAACCCGTCCCGCGTCCCGGGTTGCCGGGTGCGGGTTGGGGGCCGGCCCCACCGACCGTAGTATAAGAAGGCCGGCGAGCTAGTACGGGCCGATAGGTGACAAAGTCTCGATCCGGGACTTCACCGGGGATTCCCGGCCGCCGGATCGGGCTCTCACTCGACTATGCTTGGAAAGCTCGCCGAACCCACGCTGGAGCATTGCGTCTCAGCTGGGGCCTTGCACGAATGCTCGCACCACGCGGGTGCAGGGTAGGGATCTCCACGGGGTTCCCCGCGGGCAATGGGCGGGGTCAAGCGACCTCCCTTCGGGGAGTGTGTCGCGGAGGCCCCGACCCGGCCAGTGCCTCCCCAGGGTTTGTGACGAGCGGTCCGGGGCATTCGGGTTTTTCTAAGCCCGCCCTTTGGAACCGGTGGTGATGCTGGACAGTGGTGGGGTTGCATCTCCTCCTCGGGGGAGCCGTTAGGGGACCACTGTCCTAGGTGCGGAGGGGGCTTGCCACCATGCTTACGAACTGTCCAGAATACTCCGAGGGTCGCTAATGCTACCGATTGCCGCTCTACTACTGCTGCCGCCGACGCATTACTGCCGTTGCTTTTTCGTCTTAAACTGACGTGGTGAACAAACCCAAGATGGAATTCTCTAGACGTTCGTTTCCTCTCGTATTAAATAAATGTTAACTCACAGGACGTCAAGGCTTTCGCCGCGTCGGTACACTGGTTCTCGTAAGATCACCAAAATTCAGCGATGTCGGGCGCGGTCGCTCCTTGGATGGGTGACTATCAAGGAGAGGCATCGCGTAGTGTTGGCGAAAAAACTATGGTACTTGGCTGTTAGTAAAAGGGTCGAAATCCAGAACAATAAACAAAACCCGCAAGACTCACTTTGACACGCGATCTACCTTCTGCCATCTTTCGTTACCGCGTAGTGTCGTATGATAGGGCCATGATCATTTTACTACCGCTTTCTGGTTTTGCTCAGTGCTCTTTTACCACGTGTAAATACCGATTTCTTCTTGTCTTATGTTCGTGACTCCCAGTTTATCGGTATCGACTCGCCCGGCCACTACAGGTCCGTGTATCGTTGGAGTCCAGGCGGCGTTAGGATTGGGCAGGGTTGGGTAATTCCTCATGTTTCGAGGTTATTGACGTATATTACGTAACAAAGTAGTTTACCGGAGAAGATTTTAGGAAACCAGTAAATTACGTTTCCAATATGAAGAATTCCGCAGATGGATGATATATGGCTTCTGCTAGGTTGTAAACGTCTTTTAGCACATATGTAAATACGTAAAAATTGTAAAGAAATTATTAATTGCTCGTTTGTGTTCAAATTCCTTCGACTTAATCCTGTTTAATGTCAAAATTCTAATTGGATTTGTTATTTTCTATTTAAAAAGAGAAGGGCATAATGTACTCTGCGCTCGCGTAGAAAACTAGGGACATTTTTTTGGCGTGATATCGACAAATTACCAGAGAGATGGGACAAATGTGTAGCTAGTGAGGGCCAGTACTTTGAATAAATTATTTTTTCGCTTTCTATGAGAAAAAACGTATTTTTCTCCCTAAAAAACAGCGGATTTAAGCTTATACACCTGTTACGTCTACCATATATTTTGTTTACGTGTAATATACATACTTGTTTCATGTGGGATGTATATTATATGTATGCTGAACGTTCAAAAATACGTACACTATCTGTAGACGGCGCGGACATTTATTCATGTCCCTGGTCATTCCGTATACTCTAATATATGTATAATATCTACAGGGTAAAACAGAACTCGTAGTCACGGTTTATATAGCGCTATCCCTGTTGAAAAAGAAGTCGAAAATTCCCGTACCATTTTTTTCTACAGTGCATAAATTTCCTGTAATACCTAACTCATTAGAGCACAGCCAATCAATCGCATTTCCCAACCGAACGCATAGCGAAGAGGACGCCGGTAGTGCCGCGTTCGGCCGTTTGTGGCGAAGCAGTCCACCGCTATGCGTTCGGCTGGGAAACGGGCGATTGATTGGCTGTGCTTCAGTTAGTTATCACAGGAAATTTATGCCCCGTAGAAAAAAATGGTACAGGACTTTTTGACTTCATTTTCACATGGATAGCGCTGTATAATCCGTAACTACGAGTTCTATTGCACCCTGTACATCTATCTCTCTCCCTCTCCCTCTCCCTCTCTCCCCCGTCTATCCTTCTCTCTCTCTCGCGCCACATATTTTACATACGTATAACATTGTCATACTTGTTCCGTGTGTGTATGTCGCCCGCCATTTTTTTCTTGTTTCCAGTGAAACTTTACAATTTTTATCTAATTGTTGTTCATGGTTGTTTATAATTGTCTATCTATGATAGTAATCGTCTTGCCTATGATAGTAATAAATTTTTGTTAACTTCTTCTAGGGATAGTCAGAAAGCAACAGAAAGTTGGAAGCGGTATCTCCGTAGCGAGGACAGTACAATTGTGGATGTTTTTGTCGGACAGTTAAGGTCTTCTTTGCACTGCACTTCCTGCGGTCACGTATCGGTTACCTTGGACCCTTTCTGGGACCTGAGTTTACCAATCCCCAGCAGGAGTGGAACCGTCAAATTGAACCAATGCCTTGAACACTTCACCAAGGAAGAGGTACTCGATGGTGACGAAAAACCGACGTGTTCAAAGTGCCAGATGAGAAGGAAGTGTACCAAAAGTTTCAGCATTCAAAAATTTCCAAAGATTTTGGTCATTCGTATCCTTTTGTAGTATCTCTTTGTTATTGGTATAGTTACTCTTCGAAATCTAGTCAAGTTGGATCAACCTTACCATTTAATCCGCTTACAACAATATTTCTGAAGTGACTAATCGCTTCAGCGAATTCGTTAATTACCTTGCTCAATTTAGTTGCAGAGCTAAAAGAGTGATCATTGTGACTTTAATTGACTCAACCCCTTATTACGTTCCTTTTCCGTAGTTTTCAAGTGTACAGTTATTTTTTCTTTCGAATTTTCTGTTTTCTTTAACTGGGCCTTATATAAGTGTCGTTTCCGTTTCAATCAAATTTGTTATTTTTTTGTTAACCTGTGAAATAATTGGATGAAGGAAGCGGAGGATGAAGAGGACACCCTTAGAGGTGAAGGAAAAAAGAAAAGAGAGAGAAAGATAGAGAACTCGATCCGACATGGATTGGAGACGTGCCCTCAGTACCCGGGTCTCCGGGCGAAGAAGCCATGGAGTCACCTATGTAGGGACATCAAGGTCATCAAGAGAGATTGAAGGAGGGGAAGACTTTCGAGCAGCCAAGGCGTCGCGTCTAGTTTGCACCACGTTTCACCTTCCACTTAGATTCACTAAAAAAAGACGAGGATCCTAGAGCCACTTCTGGCACCAAATGTGAAATAAGTGGACAATGCAGTATAAAAAAGGGCTCTTTGTTTCGGGAGACGTTATTACACTTGAACTGCTGACATGAAACTCGCTGTTATTCGCCGTCTCTTGACCGTTGTCAAGAAATGCATAAAAGACGGTTGAGGAAGAAGCATATACCGGATGCCCAGACACAATATTACCCTAATAAAGCTTGTTCGGTATTATAATGATTCGCGTCCGTATAATAACGATCCATTGGATTTTGGTGGAAATGCTGTTGTATGAATTAATTCCATCTTCATCAGATCGGTTAACTGTCCTATTAGTTGACTCATAAAATTGGCACCTTGGTCAGCAAGAATTACTGTGGGAGGGCCGTATCGCAAACACCAATTATTTAAAATATTCCAAATTATAGTGTTGGCTGTTTGATTAGCTAAACGATAACCCTCAATGACTGTTGTTAATTGATCCTGTACTGTTAAAATATATTTGAATCCAAATTCATCTTCTAGTAAAGGGCCTATGATATCCAAAGCATTTTTTTCATTCCAATAACGCGGTATATCCACAATAGCTAAAGGGATCTGGTAGGATGTCGAGTAGTTTTATTCTCCTAGCAGACTAGAAATTCATTTATATTGTTAGTTACATCCATATATAGTCCAGGCCAATTATAAGTTTGTAAAATTCGGTCAATAATTTTTTTATACCTTCATAACCATCTGTTATCGTATTATGTGGATATCCCGGTTGCAGATTAATTCCAGCATTCGATGTCCCTAGGGCGTATTTTGAAAACGATAAAAAAAAAAGGACAATTAGTGATAAATTATTTGATCAACGTTATTGTATGTATGTAACATAAATCTTGATATAGTCCTTAATACAAAGGATAGACTTAAAACGGTTCTCACCAATGGAACGATTCCGTGGCAAACTGAACGTACTGGTGGATTTTCCATTAACGGGTCTGGACCTCAGTGCCTTTGCCGCCCCGCGAGTTCAGGGCTGCACGTACAATTTGTATGGAGTCGCCAACCATTCAGGCACCACTTACTCTGGGCACTATACCGCCTACTGCAAACATCCGTACTCCGGCGAATGGCACGAATACAACGACAGCAGAGTATCGAGCGTATCGCCTCGAATGGTAGTTTCCAGTGAAGCCTACGTTCTTTTCTACGAACAGCAGCCTCACAGCTCTCACTTGTAGCACCTGCCCACGAACTAAGAGCCTAGATTGCAAGACCACCTTACCTCTCCGTACAAATAATGCGTACACTCGTCAATGTCGAAATATCGTTATTGGCAGCGGATTAAATGATCCAACAATTTATTGCCTATCAAAACTTGTTTAGAAGTTGTCTAAATAGTCTAGTCCATGGATTTCAACACCTGTAAAAGAACCGTGTATTGTGTGTATCAGTAATCATTACTGGATCACATTATTGTAGTGAGGTTTACAATACGGTCTTATGTACAAAGCACGCGCGGTGTAAAAGACCCTCGTCTCCGTGGTACACACGATATTTTATCTAACAAAAAGCATCGGTTACGCGTCTTTTTGCGCATGAACAAACGACGAATATGGCCACTTTTTCACCTTAGGACGTTTCGATGCTCTTTTCTATATCCCTCCCCGAAGGATGGGGAGCCCTCTCTTGATTGTTTACATTCAGCGTACTGATCTAAATATTAACTCGAGAGCTGATATCCTACAAAATGGCGTGCCGTTTTGAAGCCACCTAGTTATGGGCACATTAACTAATATTGTACTATTTGCGCATGCGTCAATACTTTTGCATATGCACATACGTTACTTCTTTAGTATCACTGCCTATCCGTAATTGGCGGCAGTGTGCCTCGAATTCGTTGAAATCTTCTCCATATAGACCAAATAGGTATCAGCTATTCAGTTAGTCTACAGATTAGTGGATTGACGGTTAAAAACTTTTGTACATGCGCACACGTTGCATCTTTAATATCGTTGCCCATACGTGGTTGGCGCTGGTGTACTTCAAATTCGATGAGGTCTTTTCTGTATAGAATAAATAGATCTTGGCTATCCAGTTCATATATAGATCAGTGATTCAGCATCACAGAAAAGCCAACTTCAGATAACGAAGACAGTCGCGAAAAGACGTGGAAGCTGTGCTTATATTACATAAAAAATCGTGTTTAACACGAAGGAAAGGTATTTTATTTGCCTTCAGCTCGTGCGCTCGCGAGCCTTCGACTCGTATTGCAAGGTTACGCTGGACGTAAGAAGACCCACTTTGCTTCCTTGGTACACAATATACTATTATGTAACGCAAGCATGGTTTACACATAGGTTGCTCGTCTTCGGCGCATGCGTCTGCGAATCTACGATTCGTATTGCAAGATTAAGGTGAAATGAAACCCCCCTCAAATCAGTCGATTCGAATAAGACACTTTTTTTTAAGGGTATTGGATAGAACTGTCCGAAACTTTGACTAATGACTCGTGAGCACCTATGAATTATCCTGACACTTTTAAAATTTGGATTTGTGAAAAAAATTTTTAACTCAGCCTAGAACAGAACCCAAAAGGCGTCGAGCTCTCGTATTTCTATCGATATACAATTATTGAAGGCTCTAATATGAGAAACGAAAGTGTCGGGACAATTGTACGATAATTTAGAACACTCTGGTCATCGAGAAACTCGCATTTCAACGGGATAAAAGCAAAAAAAGGGTTATGTGCTTCTATGCTAAAACGACGGTAATACGAGGTTTCGGAGTGAAAATTTAGTTGACCTGGAAATCACTGTTGGTGCAGGGCGTCCCTTTGCAGTTAATTAGGCACGCAGAAACCATGAATCCAGAGGATTTCTGGAGTTTTACTTCGATTTCTTTATAATTATTGTACGAAAACGACATGTGGAGTATGCCATTTAGAACAATATTAAATATAATTCAACCCAGCTGTCAATGTAAGAACGAACGTCGACAACTTAGGTATTTAGAAAAATCTTCTTTACCGACGTCTATCAAATTTCTTAATGTGTTTCACTTCACCTTAAAAGACCCACTTCGCCTTCTTGATACCCTATGTACAATTCTTCAAAAGTTTCGTGGAATAATAGTTTCGCGTTTTTTCCGTGAATATGAAGAAATTCGGAGAAATCTCAAATTAAACACATTTTGACTGAACAACACGCTATCAGGTATCTGTTACTAATTTCTATTAGAAACTATATTGCTAACATAAGTAGATAGCAATAATAAGTTGTGTATTCAAACGGATATGGCCAGGTATTACATATACAGTCAAAATAAAGCTCAAAGTACGGCTTTTAATGAGCTCTGTAAGTTACATTAGGTTTAATTATTTTTTTAATAACTACTCTCTTTTTAAAGAAAAATAATAATACCAAACTTCAATAGGAACTGTGGGAAAAAGGCTCACAGAATGTATGAGAATCCTATAACCTAAATTTCATGCAGGGCAATAAGTAAATAATTTCGTGAATAACTTTTGTCGTTATAGTATTCCAGCAATCTTGACAGCAACAGCATTGTGGCATTTTAAAATATCTGTTTCCTGACGAATCACTTTTTTGATATGTACACATCGGGTAAACAACATCCGCCATTAAATGAACGGTCATATGGCGTATAAAGGATATCCGTAAAGAATATCGTGTAGGTCATATTTCATTCCATTGTTAACAATCTAGTTTCTACTAGAAATTTGTGGTATCCATACACTTCTGTATTCTAGTACATTTTTTAAAGCAGCAGTACAGTATAATGTTTTGACTGTTCATAACAAATTGAGTCTAATTTCAGATAGCAATCGTGGAAGCAATACTAGACTGTCGACGTTATGAGGGTATCGATAGTTAATAACAAAATTTAAGGGGATGTGAAAGTGACATCTGAGGGATCAATCGTTTGTGAAACCATTCACCGAACTGGGTGTACCGAATCGTTTCAAACATTACAACGTGAATGTGGAGGTCCTAATGTAGGTCCTAAAACTGCTGAAATTTCATTTTTTATAATAAATTTTAGAAAACATCTGTAAAAATGTAAACATATTAAAAAAAATAATTGAAATTTGATGGACGTCAGGACCTTCATAGCTTCCATATTCACATCAAGTTTGAAACGATTCGGTAAACTCAGTTCGGAGAAAAGTTTCATAATCGACAACTTTTTACGCTACTTTCACGTCACCTTAACAGACACACGTTACCACGTACGTTATTCAGGTAATTCGTAAAAAAGCCTAGTGATATCGGACAATCAAGGAAGATCTCAAGGAAGATCTCAGTGTTCCGAAGGAGTTTACTTTTAATAAACCTTATTGACATTTCATCGATATGCCGACATCGTTGAGTGAATCCATTATTGGAAATACTTACTAGGGAACACCACGTTCCTTGTCAGTCAAGATCCTAAAAAATAACAACGCCTCACAACGAGCGGGTCTCCGTTGTTGATTAAACGTGTTTCAACCTTGGCGATTATCACAGAACTGTTCACGCCTTTTCTAAAGAATGGAACTTGCTAGAAGCAATCGAATATGACTGATTCAATTAGATATTACTGATTGTAATGAAATCTCCTCCCATCTGGTGAAATAAGGCTGTTGCGTGAATAAGTTTCTTTTTTTAATTACGTAATTGCGTAATTAATAGGGTGTAAAGGAAAGAATTCTAGGCGATTTATTTATTACTTACAAAAACTCTATACTAGAAGTACGAGCATTAAATTGTAGATTCCATATTTAACACGCTTGAATTCATCGTGATGTGGAATGACGTCATACTAACACGGCTGGTGATACCATGTGCATACCTAGAAATTTTACTAAGAAAAGAAAAATAAATCTCTTTTAAGTTAATGAACTACAACATAATGTACAGTTTTTCAACGGAAATAATCACAAAATAAGTAAACTATTTATGTATCATGTAGACCATTCGATCTTAAGGGGGTCAGGCTCCGTCAAGAGGTCGAGAAAAATGCAAATTTGGAATTCATTTTTTATTAATTGTAAGACATTTTCCAAAAAATGTTTCTTTATTTAAATGAACACGTTTTAAAAAATATTTAATGCTTTTTTTTTATAAAATATACTGCTTTTCGGTACTGGATCATCTGTGATCAAATATTCAACAAGATTTATTTAATATATTTGTTTATTTGGTCGGACCCAGGAACTGTCAAAAATATTGATTTGAGATTGAATGGCAGACTTTGGAAGATGAAGTAGCAATTTTTTACCAAACAGCTTTTTGGCGAATGAAAAAATATTTGCGACGGAAAGTAAATCCTTCGTTCAAGGACTAATTTGTTATATTTAGAATAAATCTTGAATGTTTTATTCAAATCGATAAAGTAGTTTTTGAGAAATAGTGGTCACCGATTTCGAAAATATAGTTTCAAGAAAAACGTCTGTAAAGTTTCAAGTCCGGTTTACACTTAGATAAAATAAGAATTTTTTTATTTGAAGAGAGTCGATGTCAGGTTCATCAAATAAAATTTCACCAGTACTTGCAGCTTCCGTGTCTATTTGCTGATGTGATATATTTTTTCTTATCCCATATTTCAGTCTTCCTCCTTATTCTTAGAACACTCATAATCAATCCATTCTAATCGAAATAACTTGAAACCTTCACAGAATATTTTTGAGGTGATGTACTTAAAAAAAATGTATAAATCCGCAAATCGCTTTTTTTAAGTTTCTGACAGAGCCAGACTCCTCAAGGAGATATGAAAGTGGCATTTAAAGGATCAATCGTTCGTGAAATTTTTCTCCGAACTGGGTGTACTGAATCGCTTCAAGCTTTACTATACGAACATGAAAAGAAACTCTGTGAAATATCTCGATATCCATAAAATTTCATTTTTCATGCAAAATTAAAAAAATGTCTATAAATTTTGTTTTAAACTGGAATTTTATACGTGTCAGAATCTTCTTTATAGCCTGCATATTTACATTGTAAAATTTGAAATGTTTTGATATACCCAATTCGGAAAGAAAGCTTCATAAACGAAATCTTGACGCGACCTTCACGTCACTTTAGGTATTCATAGTTTTACTTCAACTGCTTTTTGATAGCATACTGTTGTAATGCTATGGCGTCATAACAAAACGCTTTATAAGCCGAATTAATGTTTTATCCGTGCGGGCTAAATCCAAACGAAGATTGTAACATCTTCAATGTAAGATTAGACCAAATGTATGATACAATTATGCTGCGTGTGAACTCCCGTTGTTATTACAGTGGTATTTAAAAAGAAAATTATATCTTCATTGAGATACACATATTCCCTGACTTATTTAACTCAGACTAACAATTGCTAAAATAGTAAAATAGTTTGAATAAAACATAAGTTTCAGTGGTCAAATAAAATGTTATGAGTTTGGCCTGTTGGAGAGTGCGTCATCTGATGATGCTGGATTCATATAGCGCTTTGGAGTGATATTTTATTACTACTATTTAATACACAAGATTCGGTAAAAATCAACGTTAATATTTTTTTCGTAAATTTTATTCCATTATCATATGGATACTAACATAATGGGGGAAATCTCGTATAACATTAAAAAAAATCTATTTTTCTTCCATAAATCGAAAGTAGATGTTTAAAGTATGCACCCAATTTTTAAGACCTAATTTATAGGACCCATTTGGAGACGCGCATTAGATTATTATTTACGTCGTCTTCATAAATGTAAAGATATTCAAGCAATGCACGTCAGAATTCCTCTGATATAAAATGGATGCTATTAAAAACATAACGTTTTATTATTTAATGATGCGAGTTTTAAATGTAAAATAAAATGTAGAGAAATAGAAAGCAGATTCAAATGACCCCGGGGCCATTATCAAATGCGTATTTCACCGAAGTACTTCTTTTAAATTAACGTGCGGGATAATTCAAAACCTGATCGACGAATAAACTTTGTACAGTCTCATTAAATTCCTTACGCATTTCTTCGGGAATTATACTTATCATTTCTTTGTATCATTTTTATCATTAATATTAAACGGATTTTTTTGCAAAAAAGTTCATTTTTATTCCACGCGTTAGCGGTTTTTCAATTTTACAAGTATTCTTTCTCAAATAGATACAATCCCGTGAACTATCTAGCTTTAAGAAAATATTTTACTTCTGGCATTCAGATGATTGTGACAGGTGCTTCACTGCATGTTGCGATCCTCCATATTGCCAGAAGTGGCCGACAAGGAACGTTTACAAAATGTTCTTATCCGATTTTATTCAATTTTTTGTTTAGTTCCTGCTGAGCTATTGCCGGAAACGGATGTACTTAAGCGTAGTAAACACTAGCGTCAATTTCGGTACCCAATAGCGAGGCCACGAATAGATCGTGATATACGTAAATAGTGCGCAAATAACGCATATAAGTGTATTAGCCGAAAAATAAACGGTAACGCAAAATGTGATCACTACCGGGGAACCGGGACGACTTAAAACGGCGGGGGGGGGGGGGAATGG